AGGATGAGGGTTTTCAGGCGGGTGAAGGCTTTGATGTCGAATGCTTCGTCTGTGAGGATTTGGGCGTTGGGGGTCTGTAAGCCACGGGCGGAAACAATTCCGTTTGTGATGCTAACGATGTGTTGCCAGAACTGAGATGTTTCGGACTCGTTTGTCTTCGTGTATTGCTTTTCCACGTAGGGGACAGCGACTTGAAGAACGTTCAGGGATACTGTTGTAGCCTTTTGCCATAGGAAGGGCTCGCGGTCCTTCCCTTGCCATGTGTACTTTTGCGCAATTAGAGCACTGAGGTGTTCGAGTGATTTTGCAAGAGCACCATTCGTGAAGACGTCTTGCTTGATGCCGAATTCGGCAATGTACCAGCTGACAAGATCGATAGTGCGTTTCGAAAAGGCCACGAATCCTGGTCTTCGAGTGTCGCTGCCGGGGCTCCATTTGGATAGTGCTGAATCGGATAATTCGGCAAGACATAAGAGAATATTCGGCTGGGAGTCCTCTTTCTCCAGGCAGAGCGTTTTAATACAATCAATGACTAGCGCTTGCAAGGCCGAGGGTCGGTCGATATCTGGAGAGTAGCGCGGGGAGACCGAGTTCCACACCAGCAAACTGAGATGATGAAGGACGTTTTCAATGTGTTCCGTAGTCAGCTGATCTTTGTAAAGGCGATAGACCTGTTGGAATGTATGTAGATAAGCCAAAGCCGCATCCTGGTTAGGTTGATCTAAGTCAAGCGCCTTCTCGTCGCTAGCAGGGTGGCCATTTGCCCATAGAAGCCACGCACACTCAAGAGCATCGTTGCTAAGTTCACATCCATTCTGCACCCGGAGGAGGATCGCAGAGAGGCTAGAAAATGTTGCTTCGCTGAAATCCAAAATATGCAAGTCAATCAGACTTTGCAGGTACTTCAAAAGTCGTTTCCAGGATTGATCGAACTTCTCGTCGTGCACAAGGGTTTCGAAGAAATTCTTGATCAGAGTTGATAAACCCTTGATCATCACCACTGTCGTATCCACCCAAGCCTTGAAGTCATCAGATTTTGCACTGCTTCGGTTGTTCTTCGCTTGGAGGAGAGGGGTCTCAATTCCCTCAGCCATCTTGAAGAGAACCATGTTTAGGCACAGACGCCACGCCTGGGGGGAGAGCTGCTGCCCATAGGCGTCGAAGATGCGTAGAAGCGTATGGACTGCGCTGTTTCGAATCTCAGGTCGACTGTCTGTCGTGATATCAACGATGCGAAGCAGCAGCAGCAGCCACAGCGAGTTCCGGGAAACAGAAGGGTCTTGGTTATGAGCTAATTTAGCTAGTTCTTCTTCGCTGACAGATGCATCAACATGGTCAACTGAGATTTGCTCAATTTGGCCCTGGAGAAAGTCGGAAACGTTCCAAAAAAAAGAGGTGGTGGTGAGGGAGATATTGAAATCTTGGGTTTGCGACGTAAAGCTAGAGAAGGCATTCACCAAGCTTAAGAGACAGGGCGCTGGTAGCAGAGAAAGGAAGTCGGATGCGACAAGATGCAAAGACTTATAGGCAGCACGTACCAACCGGGGGCCTGCTGGAAGAGCCGATGATCTGCGCTCTATCAGAGTAGACGGCCGATCGCCAGGTCCAGGATCTGGGGCATGTTGGAAAACACCAGATATTAAATCAAAGATGAGGTTCCATCCGTCCACGAAAGTTTCTGCATAATGTTCCAGAATATTATTTAACACTTCCAAGGTCTGTTCGTGGATTTCAATGACGGTTATTGGTAAAGACTTGGACGTGTGCATGTCCGATGCATAGAGAGAGGCGACCTGGGCTTTCAATGTCTGCAAATTCCTCGTCTGCACTTGATTGTAGACTTTCTCGTCGTCTTCGTCCCTTTGTTTCATTGTTGAGAATACAATCGAGTTTAAAATCGCGCTTGCCTGCAGGCGAAGATTCGGACTGACGGTAGTATTTGCGGAAGTAGAGATGAGACTTTGCGTCAGTAGCTCCCATGCTTTGCTGTCATCTTTCTCGAGCGAAGACAGTCTCCCAATGTTTGCCTTGGCTAGTTCATTTGCTTTCTCCAACACAAATTTGAGTTCCTCGTCTTGCATTCTTGATTTTCCGACAGTATGCGATACGCGCCGGGAACCTTGGTGCAAGCGTCCACCTGCTTGGGGTGATTGCGGTGTTCGAGGTATGTCTGATACTCCTGGGGCATCACCCAGGTTGCGACACTGTTCCGTGAATGCTGACAGATTCAACAAGGCAAGTAATATTTCTTCAAAAGATGCGCTTGGGAAATCGCTGGTGCTTTCGAGCATTTTGTTAGAAGCCGCCTGAACCGCAATCACCTCAGTCCCAAGATTAGCAGTTGGAACATCGTTTCCTGGAGTGACTGGAGTCTCCCCAGTACCGCTAGCCGATTTAACCATTGCACTTGAGGACATGCCAATCACCAGTCCAGTATATTGAAGTGTTTCAAAAATAATAGACCAGGCCGGCTGATCCAATGTCGGCCCCAAAGCAATTCCGAGGTTAAGCAAAGCACGCATACAAAGTAGGTTTCTCGTACTTAAAGACACAGGAGACCCTTCCCCCGCAGTAGGCTCCAGTGATAAAGAACTGGCCAAACTTGACAGATCCGCACTTCTCCGTTTCTTTTGGGGTGTGTCACTTTGTTGGGAGCCGGTGGCAGACACATGGTGTGACTTGGCACCACTCACAGGCGTAGCAGCCTTTCCAAGAGTTGTTAAGAAAGCATCTCGGGGAACGGATAATCTCAGAAGACCCGCCACATGAGCTAGCTTTTGGAATGCTCGAACAAGATTATGGTAATACTCGTCATCTAAAGATGCGCGCAAAAAGGTGGAACAAGCTGCTAGGACAGCGGGCCAACAGTTCTCTATTATCCCCGCACAAGTCTTGATGGCGGAGTACTGTACATGAGACTGCAGGTCCAGAGGATTGATGGGAACATGTGATTTTTTCGATGACGAGCTAGACTGCGCTCGCATGGGTTCTGCTGGGAAATCTTGGGAAGATCTAGCGGAGTCGGGTCCCTGAACGGGGCTCATAAGTCGATTCTTGCGTCTTTGCTTTAGATCCGGGACCGTTAATGGAAGAATGAATTTCGCGAGCCCTTCAGCAAAGCTGCTGATACAATTGAGGACGAGGCTGTAAATGTAAGTGTCCGGCGGTGTGGGCGGTTCCGTCTTGTCGAGGAGATCGATATATGGCGTACGAACAACACTCCACTGAGTGCTAATTCCAGGCACCTTGGTTTCACTTGGAGGAACAGTTGATCCAATGACACCGGCAACACCGCCAGATTCAAGAGTTATCTGATCCTCTGTGGTTGATCTTGAGTGTTCTGCACGTGAAGGTACCGTTGATTGATTGCTCACACCAATCAACGAAGGCTTCTCCGAAGCTAGCCGAACAAGTGCCGCCATGTGGTCACGAAGGATGTTCTTTCTGCCTTCCTCACTGTCATACAAAGTGTAGATCAGCCGCACAGTACCCGGCTCCGAGTACAGCCCTCGGAAAATTTCCATGCAGAGTAGTCTCTTCCAAGGCGCTGTCCCATCCGGTTCAACGAGATGGGTTATCAGACTCAATGCCATCTCACATTCTGTGGGCAAGAGAGACATATGACGCTTCAGAAGAATGAGAAGAATTCGAGCGACTCGGACGGTTTGAGCGAATGAATACCTCTCAGATAGACAACGGACGGCTAGTGGTAACAACCGAACGCGCAGCACTTGCGAAAGTTCGGGATGTCCCACAAAAAGACGGCCGCTGTTCAAGAGAATACTCTCAATAAGTTCGAGCACAAAGGTCGGGGGTAGGGTTCGTGTTCGCAGAAATTGCAGTGGCTCACCATCAATCAGACGACAGAGATCATCCAATACTTGCAGTGCATCATAGGCGAAGTAGCCGATGTCGAGCGACTGACCATCGACTTTGATGGTTGTGGTGATTTTGACATCCTTAGGAAGGCTGTCTTCGCTCGAAACTCTTTCAAAGGTCGATACCACCAGCTGTTGGAGAGTAGCCGCGGCAGTACTAGAGACTGCAATCGTTTTGCTTGCCTGTAATGTGGCGCATATTTCCAACGTGTTCGCAAGAAGTTCCCCGCTCAATTCATTGGAATATAACTGCAAAAGCGAAGGAAGTGATTGTAGAATCTTCAGCTGGATATCAAGACCTAGAAAGCGTTAGCGCAATTTAGAAGTTTTGATTTGTTTGGTCATTTACTCAAGCTCGTTGTCTCCTTCAGGCCCCCGAGAACATCTTTCAAACGGCTCGAGGGTAATGACCGAGATGCAATTAGTCTCTGTAAACAGATCACACCAATACCGGCAAGCTTCGCATGCCGAGTATAGCATGCAATGATGAATGGCTCGACAAAATTCGGTTTGCGAACAAGGTCTAATGCCGATTTAGCGATTGGAAACTGACAAAGGGTTGTCATGTAAAAAAATTACCTGCTGCTATCTGAGCCTCTGAAGTTGAGGGCAGTGCTTTGAGCTCATTCAATGATTGTTCAGCGGCCTGTTAGTTTCTCGTTAGTGTGCCATAGCCGATGATGCCTAGAGAGTGATAACCAACATTTCGCAAATCGGAGTTTTTCCTTCGAGACTCATGTACCAAATTGGCGAGCTCCGTCTGCAAGAATTGGGAGGACATTTCTGATATAGGTTTGTTGCATCAAAGCATGGCCAGCACTCCCGATGTCAACAGTATAGGGAGCTCTCGATCGCAGATGAACAGATCGGTGTTCCTACACCAGGCTAGTGGCAAATTTGGAGCTTTAATTCCAAGTTCATGTGAGCAGCAAGGGAATAACGACTGCAATTCTGCTAGTACAACGATTCCACGATGGGATCAACAAGGCGTGGCATCTCCAACAGGTGCCAAGCCACCGATAAGCCATATCGCACGTGATCATGATTCCACTTGACCGCCCAGCGCATTGCCCCTCTTGTCGTAACATCCCTCTTTGGCATCTGTTCACACTTGTCGTGATATTTCCAGCCTCCGAAACCACTACTCGGTGTTCAACATGGCCGCCAAGGTCCCAAGAAACTTTCGACTCCTGGAGGAGCTCGAGAAGGGCGAGAAGGGTCTGAGTGCAGGTACGATTGTCCCCTACGATCCCCGATAATGTCCGATCTTAGATCACTGACGTATCTTATTAGATGCCTGCTCATACGGACTTGCTGATGGAGAGGATATGATGATGAGCAACTGGAATGGAACCATCCTTGGTCCGCCTCACGTTAGTTTGGGTCTACTCCACGCCACCATGAAACTATTGCTAATCTGCCATATTTTAGAGCGTTCATGAGAACCGGATATACAGTGTGAACATCCACTGCGGACCTGACTACCCCGATAACCCGCCTACCGTTCAATTCGTTTCTCGAGTCAACATCCCCTGTGTTGATCCCAGCTCTGGCAAGGTATGAGGAGAGTGGGTACCAGAACAGGAAGCCATTACTAAGTCATTGTACTACAGGTCGATCCGACAAAGCTCCCTACCCTTGCGCAGTGGAAACGAGACAACACTATGGAGACGGTTCTGATTGAGTTAAGAAGGTGAGCACAGAAAAATCGTAGAGGATGCGATGATTGGTTGGTGTTGACACTTAGTCCAGGTACATGGCCTTGCCCCAGCATAAGAAGCTGCCGCAGCCCCCGGAGGGCTCGACTTTCTAGACCAGCATATGTGACGGCGGTCGGCTTCATTTAAATTTCCTGGCTTCTTCTCTTCTTCTATGACCCTAGAGCGTGTACAGTCTCTGCATGAAAGCATCGGCAGGGGTTATTTTGGGCCCCAACTTTCAATTTTCATCCCTACATTAGGTCTTCATCTCTAAAGTGTTTTTTTCGTGGAACTGGACTGGGCATTGCGTCAGGCGCACCGATAACTATACAAAAATGAATAACTAACTACTATTACTTTATTTATGGAATGACATAGAAATGATTCATTTTATTTCCATGCGTGATTCCTAGCTATCTAGCATGAAGCAACTTAGGGTCGGGGGACATTAGACCAAACATAGGGACAGGACAAAGGGATCGAGGGAATCAAGGGGATGAACGCTTAGGCTAAAGGTCGAAGAGAGGTCAAAAAAACCTGGGGCTTCAGGAAGGAGGCAGGATAAGATGATCCAAGAGCCAAATGCCAAACAAATAAGGCACAACATGGGGGTAGACAGGGCGACGCCAGACAAACAACTCCGAGGGGACACTGTCCTAGGCCAAGAGGATAGTATTTACGTCTACATGATCTTCTTCTCCAAGCGCCCGGACAAGCCGAGCAGTTGATGAAAAAGGGGTTCGCGTCGATCGGGGGTAGTGTAAGCCCAATGACACTGTGCAACGAGGCATGTGCAAGCACAGGGGCCAAGTCGCGAGATCCAAAAATAGGAATAATCAAAGTGTTTCCTGGACGGAAACTTTCAGAGATTAAACTGAAAAGAACAGATACTACACTTGATCTAAGCCAATAGGCAAAGAGAGCTGAAGAAGAAAGAAAAGAAGAGGAGATTCTGGGGGCGCGGGCGGATATATATAACTAATCTTTGGTCACGTGCCTTTGGTTCAAGGCGGTATGTATCTTGGGCAGTACCCATTAATTAATCTAGTAGTCTGCTAGTTCATTTACAGTAGGCGGTGATAGCCGGTAGAAATGAGATAAGACTTAGCTTTAGCTTCATTATTAATATAACCTTCAACACGGCAGAATGCATAAAGTGCTGGTGCCCAAGTATAACGGAGCTCATCGTTTTGCTTGTGAGAGATGATTCCCTACGTTTCCCGCCCTTCCAGCTGACAGTCTGTCTCTGATAGGTTTGGCACTCTATCGAGCACTTCTCCGACAATGTCGACCTTTAACTGCAGACAATCCGTGGCTGGGTGAGACCAAACCGCTGATTCGGCAGAATTTCCGAAAATATAAAAAATTACAAAGCCCATCACAAACAGCAAATGCCTTGAAGGCAGGCTATGAGGTATGTTCATCGAATATTCATCTTGGTTGAGCTCATGTTGATATTTCATATGATAGGCTCTAGATCTCCTCTCTTCGTCCCATACCAACCAACATGATGCACACCGGATCACAACTCTTATAGCACAAGCCAGGTCACAAAAAGATAAATACGCTGCGATGCAAAGGAAGATTCGACCAGTAGCGCCACCTGTCAAACCTCTTACGCCCAAGAAAGCCCGAAAAGAAAAGTCAATTCGCTTCCAGGAGGAAACAAATCAGCGACATCCGAACGCCGGCTCGGTCCTAAACCGACCCCAGCCATTAGGTGACAAGAAGCGCAATGTTCCTGTACTTGTCAATGCACGCGGACTTCCGTTCTTGCGCTTTAAAAAACCGCAACCGAGAAACGTTAGCAGTGTGATACGAACAAAACTTACACGTCGTTGGAACTGGATTGAACGTCGTGACAGACTGAAAGTAGAGCTACTTTTCGCCGAGGACGAAGAGGAGTGGGATCGCGTCACCAACACTAAGGAGCCATCCACTTGGTCTGAACATCCTGCAAATGCCATTGCCGATGTCAATGCGAAAATCGGACACTTCGACATGCAATCTAAAGAGCTTGCAGATAACTTGTGGAAGATTGTTCTAGCTGAAAGGGCTTTGGCAGAAGAAGAAGCTAGCCAAAAGCAGCCAAAGTAATGAGACTGAGTGGTCCGTCTTGCCGCGCTATCCCAAATTACATTCCATAGCTCTTTGGGCAGACGGATGTTGGTCAACCATATGGCCATTCTAGGTCCATTCCTGACCACATCAGAGTCGCCTATTCATGGCCATGCCCTTGTCAATGTCGCCCGAGATCAGAATACAAAGGTTTGTTGTAAAGGAATGGTACATTATCCATGCCAACCTAGCCAGGTATGTCATTTCTTGATCATATCCGATCAATGGGAACCATGGGCTATAGCAAGCAGCTCAAACCACGACAGTAGCTCTCTTCCAGCTCCTCTTTTGTCTATTGATTGGGCATTATCTTTCCCTGTACCATAACGGAAGTCCATGTGGACTTGCAGATCTGTATATCACTCCGCCTGCCCTTGATACTAGTTCACTGATCGCCCAGTATAATCACACCAATTCAAAAAGGCTATAATACATAATTTCATGAAGTAATGGCAGGTCATTAACATTTCTATGTATCAGCTCATGCGGCCACACTGAGCTTCTCAACAGCCGGCAGAGCATCATCACCTTCCTCATCATAATCGCCCTTCACCAAGCCCCTCTCCCACAATTGTCGGCCTGTGAGCTTTTTCTCCTCTTTCGTGGGCTTTTTCTTCTTGTCTTCCGATTCCTTTTCTTCGCGTACGCGAAGCTCCTCCTCCTCCTGCTCCTTTTTGAACTTGGCACTCCACTCCAAGAATGACTTGACAGTAACTGCTGTGCCATTGAATTTTCTGTTCTCCTCCTCCTCTCTCTTCGCAGCGACTTGGTCCATCTCGGCTTGAATGGCGTCTGCTCGCTCGGACATAAGAAGCTCTGCGCTTTCCTTAAGTGCGCTGACTAGTGTGAATATCATCGGCATACCCAGGTTCTCTTCGATAGTAGGCTGAAGAGACTCCATCAGTAGGTCCCGATCTTCCTGGACATCTAGCCGAGGATGCTTCGAAGCATTGGGTGGTGACGAGATGCTGAGATTCGGGCCAACATCGGGGTATTCCTCCGGGTAGGAGACTTCCAGGCATATCACAGGTTGTTCTGTTTCATCGCCGTCATATTCGAGGGCATCAAGAGTTATGGATACTCGGTACGAGGTTTCGGATATGTCTAGGAGCCAGGTCTCGCTGTGAGCAAAGATAGAAAGAGAGCTTAAACCGTCTAGAGGCCTCGTCTATTACTTACCGCTAATTTCATCGGGGAAGATTGAATCGAGCACTTCACGCTCCTCAATCTGGTCTTCGCGACCCATAGCTGTTGATCCGCCGGCGGGGTAACAATTTGAGCGCGGGAGTGCAGATTCTTCGGGAAACAGCGCGGACACGGACAAGAGTGGTTCCAGCGGGACAGCTTGGAAAACTGTCTAGGCAAGACCTTGAGATATCGCAATATTAAGAAATTCGGGGAAAAGAGATCGGAGCGCAAACCAAGTCGCAACCAACGTCGGGGCCAAGACCGGTCACGTGAATATATTAAACTCGCCGGCTTCCAGCTTCAAGAACACCATGACCCGCTCACTAACATTCAAATGGAAAAGAAACCCCGAAGATAGCTATAAAACAGCAATCACTTGGCTAGGTAGGAGGTAATATCGTGACTATCTCCGGTACATATGAAAAATATTGGAATTGTAACGACTCAAGAGCTACATCGTCGCACAGGCAGCAAAGTACTTCAGGGCTAGAGCGTCCACTTAGAAATATCTGCTAGTTCTTGCCGCTTATCAGGGGGAATAGCGAGGCCCCAAATCCCCCAACGTACAATCGGGGCCATCTCTTTCGGTTCCAGTGTATCGTTGCCATCAGGAACAACATCCTCATCGTGAGAACCTGCCTTGTGAACATCTCTAAAGTCAACGAAGTACCTAACTCAATAATCAGCCACAAGCCTAACCTAGGCTCACGATTAAGAAGACTCACAATTTCGAGGCAATGGGGTCCCAGATCAATTTAGTTGCCGAGGGATAGAAGGGCACCCATCCAGCTTATTCAGCTCGCGATACCCCTTATTAAACGATTCTCTAATCTGATCTCGCTCGGGAAGGGTGAAATCTGTAAAGAATCTATGAGGCTGGGCTCTATATTTAGGCATAACATGATCTTCCCAGAGACGATATCCAGGGACACGTTGGAAGACAAAGTGGATAGCGTAGCCCCCCGGGATAACCCCTTGTTGGTCCTGGACATCCTCTTTTATTCCAAGGAGAGCAGGTGTAATAGTCGAATTTTGTTTGTGGAAGGCCCTGATAGCTTCGACCTCGCAGTGGCCTCTAGCAGCGGCCTGTTTAGCTCGCTCATTAGGTGGGAAGAACTCGGTTCCTTGATGGGGAACTTGTAGGTAGACACGCATATAGGCCTGTTGGCCATCTAAGTCCCTGCTGACACGGAAGGTCGCAACGGCGTACGAGGGTCCATACCCAGCTTCAACGTCGGACTCGTCATTCTGGGAGTTTTGCTGGGAGATCCTAGCGACAATGGTCCATTCGGTGTGATTGGGCTCCGAGAAGGTGATATGCTCGCCCATTGCATACGAAAGAAACCGACTTGAGTCATTTTAGCTCTAGAGAGAAAGAAAGGAGGCGATTGATCTCTACCTATGTAGGTAGAGTGAGATTGCACAATGGTGACAATGCTCCATGTCGACAACCACGGTTGTGAGAAGTCTTTTTAGAAAAAAAATTAAACATCTTTCTTCATGCATCTTTGTCCTTCTCTGTGTTATAGCTAGAAGAATAAACCATTAGCTATAGTAAGTGCAGGGACGATGGGAATAATAGCAAGTAGACATGCTGGGCTTATCATTACGATATGGTACAATATTGCGGTCCCACATGCAAACCCGTCAAACAGCCGCTCCAAAAATTTGGAGGTACACTTTTTTTTTACTTCTCCCAGATACCCTGTGGGTTATAATTGACAATCACTCTGCTTGATATTCTAGTCGACGACATCACCATTATTTATTAAATTTTACTGCATCCTGCCATGGGAAAGTCCAGACCACAAAAGAAGAAATCATCCAAACCCCGCGAAAAGTCCGTTCTCGGCCCTGGTGGCTCAATCTCAAAAGGCAACATGGCTCAAGATCCCTCAACGTTACTCGACCAAGCCACAATCCTCCTACAAACTGGTCGAGCTGATGAGGCACTCGTGGTAGCACAGCAGGCTCTAGAGTTGATCACTGAGAACACCACTGCACAGCTCCCCGCTATTAACCTTCTTGGAGAAATCAATGTTGAACTAGGTGACATCGACACCGCCAGAAACTGCTTCCTTCAGGCTGTTCAACTCGACCCAAATGGCTCGATACCGGAATCCCAGGGTGGAGGAGCTGAGAAGTTCCTATGGCTTGCACAATTGAGTGAACAAGGTGGAAAGGACAGCGTCCTGTGGTTCGAGATGGGTGTGACGTCCCTCAGACAGACTATTCAGTCTCTTGAGGGGAAAAAGTCACCAGAGCAGATTGCCGATATTACACAGAAGAAGACTAAGTTGTCTAACGCACTCTGCGCTGTCGCCGAAACCTACATGACCGATCTTTCGTGAGTTTCTATATATTCCAAACTTCATTGCGCGCTGACGCTAACATTTTCGCTTAGCTGGGAAGAGGATGCCGAAGCTCGGTGTGAAGCACTTATTACGGAAGCCATTCTTGTCACACCCGAAGCGCCAGAGGTACTACAGACCCTCGCATCCATCCGAATCTCACAACTGCGCACTGAAGATGCGCAAGCCGCGCTCACTCGCAGTATGAGCCTCTGGAAGGACCTGGCCCCAGAAGATCTCAAAATTCCCGATTTTGCGGTGCGCATCAGTCTTGCGCGACTCCTGATGGAAGTGAATATGGAGTTTGAGGCTCTGGAAGTCCTCGAGCGCTTAATTCTAGAGGATGATGAAAGTGTAGAGGCCTGGTACCTCGGAGGCTGGTGTCTCTTCCTGCTGGCAGAAAAGCAACAGGCACCTAAGGATGCGACCGCTGATGAGCTTGCCGAGTCCCCGCGACACGCATCACTAGATGCTAGTCGTGAATGGCTCAAGCAAAGCTTGAAGCTCTACGATGTCCTTCAGTACGAGGATGACCGGCTCCGTGATCATGCCTTGGAGCTTGTAAAGGAAATGAACAAAGAAATTGGAGAGGATGATGAGAGTGAAGCTGAAGGAGAGGGAGAAGGCGAGGATTCGGATGTGGAGATCGAAGTTGATTCTGACGATGAGATGGCGGATTCATAGATACCAAAAGTGACGACCACATGAGATGATGTACATGTTCATTGATCTGTTTGATTTGATACCACTAAAAGTAGTTTCTTTGATTTTCCCCCCAATTCTCTCTTTCATGCCGAACCCCCTGAACTACAAACCAAAACTTCTTTGACATCGCCACTGCAATTCATTCATCGGTTCCGGATTAAGTTGCCTCCGGTGAGGCAGACGCCCGAATTTTTGCCAGAGCAGATTGCAAGCGCGAGTGAAACGAGTTTGTCTCCGTGGCTGGAATCTCAAACTCCTGCAAAATGGATTTGATACCAGCCCCAAAAGGAGAGACTTCGCTAGAGACCACTGTGGTCGAAGTGGGGGCCGTGGATATGGAGAAACAGTACGACATGGAGGACGACGCGCCGGACCTCGCACTTGAGATTCCGTCGGATTTGGAGACGGACAGTGATGATTCCGATGCATGGGATACTCTGTCTAACTGCGATGAGGCGATCCAGTTCCTACGCGATGACCAGATCCGCGACGGCCTCGGTATGTAACTATATCCACCCTCACCTCTTACCCCGGACACCCCCGCTTCGGAGATCAGAACGAATATTGGCTAATCTGGTCGCTTTTCTGTCGCAGTTCCCGGTGCCTGTACTCTGGAAGAGGCGACTTCATACCGACAGCGTCTGCATGCGATTGGCAAGGCGGCGTTCGTAGAAGAGACCATCCTCCGCGAAACCGTCACGGCCAAAAAGTTATGCACAGCGTTTGGAATCATGCCTCCGGCATTCCTCGACGGTGCACCGGATGAGTCCTATCATTCTCTTCTGGCGGTCGCGATCTCGCGCGAGTTCTCCCGGAGGCCTAAGTTGCCCCAGTACAACTCCATCGACGATGCTGTTCGGCTCCTTCGCGAATCTCGGAACATCGTCGTTCTAACGGGCGCAGGTGTACGTACAAAGCAAAGTGTATTGAATATCCCTCAATAAGTGCTAACGGGTATTTTATCAGATCTCCACAAGTCTGGGTATTCCCGATTTCCGTTCTAAGGATACCGGGCTCTATTCAAAACTGGCGCACCTGGGCCTGAGCGATCCACAAGAAGTCTTCGATATCCATATCTTCAGGGAGGATCCGAATATTTTCTTTTCCATTGCTAAGGATATTCTCCCAACGGAAAAGAAATGGTCGCCCACCCATGCGTTCATTCGGCTTCTACAAGACAAGGGGAAGCTGTTGACCAACTACACGCAGAATATCGATAACATTGAAGCAAATGCCGGGGTACTTCCGGAAAAAATTGTACAGTGTCATGGATCCTTTGCGAGGGCCACCTGCGTGAAATGTGGGTTCAATGTCCCTGGCGACACGATCTTCGATGAAATCAGGGCGGGAAACGTCCCCCACTGCACCGCCTGCAAGGAGAGCATTGCAAAGAGAGAACTAAAGCCGCAAGGTCTTAAGCGCAAACGAAGTTCCAATGGTCACCAGAAAGACCGCAAGGTCTCCGGCGACACTTCAGATGAGGACGACTATGAAATCCCGACTCCTGGAGTGATGAAGGTCAGTAATCATTGGATCCCTTGTTTGCTTTCTTCCATACTTACGAACAGTATAGCCTGATATCACGTTTTTTGGCGAGGACCTGCCCGATGAGTTTGGCGAACGACTAATCCACCAAGATCGGGAGCTAGCAGACCTGGTCATTGTGATCGGAACCTCGTTGAAGGTAGCCCCCGTTGCTGAAGTACCCGGAATCCTACCTCGCCACGTCCCGCAGATCTACATATCGCGCACTGTAAGTCATGCTGAGAAAATTGGCACTGTATCATACTGACCATGGCGTGTAGCCTGTGTCACATACCGAGTTCGATATTGATCTCTTGGGTGACTGTGATGTGGTAGTATCAGAACTGTCTCGTCGGGCCGGCTGGGATCTGCAACATCATATGATACCAGCGGATGAGAAGGTGGACATTACCTCGGTGGAGGGATATGAGTCACGACATGTTTTCAAGGTAGTCGGTGCATAAGGGTGGAGTTTTGGGCATGTCTTGCTTCTATCTTAAGGGAGGGCGTATCTTCGGGTTTCTGTTCATAGCTAGATGTGGTGATATATCTTATGTAGTCTGTTTATTTTTCTTTTTTTGGTGCGATATCATACCTGGGTAGACCTAGGTTTCGTCGACTGCAGCTCAATCAATCGTTTCATTATCTTGTGTACAGCACTTTGCAATTGAAACATTTTAGTCAAATTCCAAGGAAGTAAGAATCTCTTTTTGCTAAATGTAGTATTTGTAAAATATACTTGATTTTGTTGGAGATATAAAACCATACCATCACTGGACATACTGTGTCGCCGTGGAGTATATTTCTGAAGACCCGAGAAAAAAAATCTCAACCCGCAACACCCCGCCTTCAAAGCAGCAACGAACTACATGAACTCCCACTGAAGAGGGATCTTTGATTAAAAAGCAGTCAGATATTCGTCTCGCTAGCCATGGATTATCTGGTTCGGTTCGCCCAACTCCATGAGACCTTCCGACGGCCGGAACTTCAAGCCTGTGCCACACTCGCTGGCGTCGACATCGAATTCATCACTTACAATGAATATGTATGATACCCTTTCTATCAATACTGGAAGCGTCCAAATTTATTCATACTCCATGGACATTGGTCCGCAACCATGACACCCTTCACCTATGTTCTTGCATGATCATCCTCAATTTTCAGAAAACTCGACTGACATCCCTAGTCACCATACTGTGTCGTCAGACTACCAGATGAAGCCGCGGCACGGGCAGTTGCTAAGCGCAGTATTCTAGTCAAGGACATCTTCGAGCTTTGGGGCGAAGGCACCGATTATGAAGAGCTACATGCAGACGTCCGTCGACGAACTCAGCATCGCTGGAACGACTACATTGCTGTTCCATTCAAATTCACAATTGACTACTTCGCAGGAACGCGCAGCCTAGTTCAGAAGGGAGAGATCATTCGATCCTTCTCATATATGGGGTTCAAAGGCCCAATCCGGCTAAAAGACCCCGATGAGGAGTTTTTCGTGATGGAAGAGTACATCGACGACGTTGAAGTCTCTAAACTGGGCGTTTCGCGAACGGAAGATCCGCGGAAAATTTACCTCAGTCGCAAGATTGCTGATAGCTGTCGCGAGGACGTGCTCAAATATGACCTCAAGAAGCGTCGTTATATCAGTACGACTTCCATGGATGCGGAGTTGAGTCTCATTACGGCGAACATGGCTCTTGCAGCACCTGGAAAATTGTTCTTTGATCCTTTTGTCGGAACTGGGAGCTTCAT